TCACGAACGTGAACGGTGCGGTTGAAGAAGTTCACCGGGTGATCCTTGCTTCGCAGCCATGACATGCCCAAGATCATGTCGAATTTGGTGTCCAGAATGTCAAAGGACACCGCCTCACGCTACGCTGGGACGGCGTCAATGCACCGGTCGATGGACTTGTGCRKATGACCGTCTGCCAGGGTGACTTGCGTAGGCTGGGACTTCCTCCGGACACGTGGGCCAAGGCCGGCGCGTACCATGAAGTCCTGGCTGATGTAGTTGCGAGATGCTCCGCAATTGATCAAGGAACTGCAGGTCGCCTCTCCGATCTGAATGCGTATGTATAGCAATAGTGCGTCAATGTCGTCGTACCATTGCGTCTTGAACTCGCGGTCGATCTTCGCGATGAAAGCGTGAAGGTCGACAACCTCTGCTCCGGCGTCCATCAACGGAGCTGGTACTGCAGTGTGCAAGTAGTCCCGCAATTGTGCCATAAGCACGTTGCAGTGCGCTTTCGACAATCGTCCGGTCGAGGGAACGGGCATCCAGTGGAAGTCCGTGAACGTCAATGGGTCGAGCTCTTCAAGTCTTGACCATGATGTCGAATCCCCGGCGATAGATTGCGGCGAAGCTGCTGAAGCGGTTGCCGATGGTGATGAAACCGTGCATGCGGTGGACTGTTGCACGTGGAGCGGTTGGTCCAGCGGTGGAACCAAGTGGACAGCATAATCCTCGTAAGTATATCGAGGACTTGCGACATTCGCATCCTCCCCAAATATGCAGGAGGCCGCTAGCAAGGCGGCCGTATCTGGCGGAGTAGAAGGTGGAGTCGCCTCACCTTCCGCGGAGCTCAGTTTCCCGAGCTGAGGCGGGGTCGCACATCCTCCTTGCCCTGATCTTGGCACAGGGAGGTCTTGTGCTTGGTGCTGTTGCACCAATAGCAGTTGCCGTAGCGGCCGCGGACCTTGTACTCCGCCTCGGTCAAGCCAAACTTGACCCATGGAAACTGTCCCGGCTGTCCATTTCCGGCCTGCGATGCAGATTTCGCCTTCCCATTGTTACGGGACTTGTTGGTGCTTCACGGCTGGACAGCGGCCACCTGATCTACGTCACTTGATACTGGAGTGGCTGCTGGGTTATCTCCACTGTCCTGCTGGACTGCAGGGAAGTGCTGCTGTCGCGGACCAGTTCGTGCCTTCTCCACATAGGTCGGCTGCCATGTTGATTTCTCGTGTGCAGCTGACCTGTTGGTCTTGATGATCTCCCTTGCTTTGTCAATGATCTCCGAGAAGGTTGAGTACTGCTCGCGATCACCAAGAGCCTGGCTCAATGCCGCACAGGACTTGTTGTAGAACTCACGGCGTAGATGCTCGAATGGTAGGTTCAGATTGGGCACAGCCGCAATCTTCTGCCACTCCGTGAGCCAGTCCCGTGTTGYTGTGTTGCCCTGTGACATGGTGAACAAACGGTTGATGGCGAGTGCCGGCGCGTCGTCGACGATGAACCGCTTCTTCCACAVCCGTGTTAGTTCCTCCCATGTGATTACGTCCTTCAAGTCTGGTACGTCGACGCGGTGGGAGGTTGCCAGGTGGCTCAACCAGGTCTGGCATCCTCCCTTTGAGTTCAGGAACAGGGCGCCGATGTACGCATGCTTGGCTACTGGCAGAATCCTGAGTTGCGTTGTGAATGCTTCCCACCAGAGGACGGGATCCTGCTGCGTGTAGTCGTCGAACCTCTCCAGGTTGAAAGTTGGCATCTTGTACATCTTCGGATTGTCGTCCGCGTCCGTCGACTGCAGCTTCTGGACCTCGGTCTTCAATGTATGTAGCTGACTGCTGATGGTGGTGGTCGGCGCAGCGAAGGTGCTGATGTCGCCGAGCATTGCCACTACGTGGTCAACGCGGTCCTCCAGTTGGCGGCTTGAGGGTGCACTGCTGGAAGCTCCAGCAGCTGGTCCTGGTACAGCCTGTTCCGGGTCCAACAATCGGGCATTGAGTGCCCGAGTTGCATCTCGTGGCTCTGCACTGTGCGGCGGAGCGTCGCCAATTCCTGATGCTGTTGCGTCAGGTCCCGGTGCTGTCTCTCCAACTCTGACCTTTGGTAGTTGCTAGCATACAACAACCGGGTCACGAGTTTGGAGAGGAACTCCTTGTGCTTTTCTTCTGGTGTTGCGTCGTCGCCGTTTGGTTGAAAATGACAGTACTTGAGTCTGTTGATGCTGTTGGCTTCATGCATCCTGGGCTTCCTTTCGGCGAGCCTGGGCATCTGCTTCTGCATCGGCCTGTAGCCGCAGTTTCTCTGCTGCTGCTGCCTCTTCAACTTGTATGCGGGCAGCCTCGACTGCCAGCAGCCGTTGTTCCTCAGCCTCTATCTGAGCCAGGCAACGCTGCTTGTAGGCGGCAATGGTCTCATTGGCCAGTTGGCCTGGCAGGCCCGTCATGTTGCTGACGTGGCAATGCTGCCGTGGCACTGTGTTGAACGTCACTGCTGACGTGGTACTGTGTCTGATGTGGCACTGCTTACGTGGCACTATGTTTGACGTGGCAATGTGACCTGGCACTGCGGACGTGGCACTGCTGATCTGGCACTGCGGACGTGGCACTGC